GGGATGGCATGGAGCCAGTCACCCGCACCCACCCCCTTGAGGCTGATGAGGCGGATGGCGTGGCCCCTGTCCTCCCCCGGCCGGTCCTGAAGTGTGTCTGCTAGGAGTTCCAACGCCCGCCGCTGGTTGATAGACTTGGACAGCCCCAGCTGTAGGTTCCCAGTGCCCAGACCCCCTGCCCTGTACTGCTCTAGTGTTGCTCGGGCTTCAGCAGGGAGGTTACCCTCCATCGTGGCTCTGGGGTTGGTCTCAGGTGGCAGTGGGGCCCACTCGTGGGAGAGGAGCTGTGTCGCCCGGCTCAGGAGGCAGTCCGTTGGCAGGTTCAGCTGCCTCAGTAGGATGTGTGCCGCCGTGACTGAAGCCAGGTATGCCGCGGGTGCCTCAGAGATAGGGTCGATCACCCCGAGGCCACCCAGGCGGATGGGGAGTGTCCCCTGACGCCCACAGCAGGCTCTGCTCAAGCTCGGAGGTGGGGATCCGTAGTTTCGCCGCGGTGAGCGCCGATCCCAGGAGAGCCTCACTCCACTCCCTCCATTCTCGCGCACTCAGTGTAGAAGCCGGGGTCGTCCGAAGCATGTACGAGATCCGCCGTGAGATGCTGCGTGAGACCATAAGGAGCGCGTTGCTGCGGGTTCAGTTGTGAAATGAGGGGGAGCGGTGATGCCGCCTCCCCCAGCGCCGCCCGTACGTGGTCCGTGCAGAAGTCATCAGACCCAACTGGGCTGCCCAACACCTTGATTCCTCCCGGGTTCGCGGTCAGCCCCAGCGGTAACTCCTCCTGCTGCTCGCTCGCGTTCCTCCCCAGGCCGTTGATTTGGCAATGTTGCATCGCAGTCCTGCCTTTCCCAAAGCCGCAGCGATCGTGTCGAAGGCGAGGCAGGCGGCTTCACGTGGGCCGACAATCGTAATGTCGTCGGCGTAGGCGACGATCGCCACATCCGGCAGAGTAGTGGCCACACTCAGCAGGGCTGGCTGGATCGCCGCCGCGAACAGGAGCGGGCCGAGTGGATCGCCTTGGCGAACTCGCGGGAGCTCAGGATGTACTCAGTGTCGAAACGCTGGTCAACCAAGAGCCTCGACGGGCCGTCGTAGAGGTTTCGGACCAGGGGGAGTAGGGGGTTGAGGTTAGACCATTGCAACGCCTCGAAGAAGGCCCTGCGTTCGACGCTATTGAACGCGTTCTCTACGTCCAGCTGCAACGCGATCCGCGGGACGTCCTCCTGTAGTAGCTAGCGCTCTAACCGAGTGTATGATGCACTCCGCTCCCCCTGGGATGGCCACGCCGAATTGGACCGGGAGAAAGAAGTCTCTCTCTCTCTCTCTCTCTCTCTCTCTCTCTCTCTCTCTCTCTCCTCTCTCTCTCTCTCTCTCGCTCTCTCTCTCTCTCTCTCTCGAATGGTCCTTGGATTCCTATGGTGGGTGGTACAAGGCAAGGGAAGATGCAAACACAAGCACAGGCAAGCAACCAACCAGCAATCTAACTACCACAAGTCCCCTACCTACTCAGCCCCCCCCATGTCCGACCCTACTGGTCGAACGGGGCCTCAATCAACTGGTGCAGGTGTCCCTCGCTGAGAGGGATGATGGGCCCTCTAAAGGCGAGCTCGTCCGCTGCCAAGGCCTCATTGGTCTTGGTGCGGAGGGCGTTGGCCTGCGCCCGCTGGAGGCACACACTCCAGCGCTGGCGGTACTTCGTCAACAGCTTCGCCGCTTCGTAGGAGGTAGGCGCAGCGTTGAACCGCAGCTTCGCCGCCAGCTCAGCGCATTGCCGCAGGTAAGCCATCACCCCTGGCGAGGGGTAGCCGTAAGTTTCCACGGCGAGCGCGTGGAACCCCACCCACGCGTTCCGCCGCGCGTACTTCTCCTCCTTCTTGTCTGCTGCCGCCCTTGCCGCCCATCCAGGTGCACGGTTGCAGTTCTCGTCCTGGCGTGACACCGGGTCCGTCACGGTCACGTCGCACATCCAAACCTCACCGGTCGTGGGATGGCGGATGGTGACATCCGCTTTTAGGTTCTCAACCAGTGAGTAGACATACGTCTCTTTGTGGACCGTTAACCCCGCCTCAGCCCTGATGTTCGCAATCTCATCCCGCAGAGCGTGATGGGTTGCTGTCCGCCCTTTCCCCTTCTCGCAGCGCATGAGATGGTTGGGGAGGCGGTCATCGGGGAAGGTGGTGCGGTAGCGGCAGTCACAACGTCTAGGCACCTGGAGGGGGAGGCCTAGGCGGAAGGCGGCTGCTGTTGAGAGCTGGGATGGGCCCATCCGGAGCGAGGGGGTGAGCGGGATCGCTAGCAGCCAGTCCCCCGCGCCAGGGCCTAGCAGCGACTGCACCCGTTGCGCGTGGCCAGAGCGGGGATTGGGGCGCATCCGCCTTGCATTGCGCATGACTCTTAAGAAGCGGCGGGAGTGGACCGCCAGTGCTAAGCTCTGCTGCAGCTTCAGTCCCTTGGGGTCAGCCTTCCTGGCCTGGAGCACCTCGAGGGCTTCTGGGGGCAGGGCTGCCTCCGCTGCTGCGAGGCGTGCTGGCAGCGCGTGTGGGGAGCCGTGGGTCGGGTCTAGGAGGGGGAGGAGCGCGGCGACAGCGGGGTGCAACGAGTCCTCCAGCGTGTGTAGGAGGTGTGCCGTGCTGATTACGGAGGCAAGATAGGCGTAGCTGCCTTCCACGGCGGGGTCAGTGATGCCCAGTCCTCCCAAGGTCACAGGTAAAGCCGCCTGCCGCCAAATCCTCCGCCTCTCCCTCGCACTCCTCGGCCTCATGATGTGGGCCGAATCCAGAAAGGTGTGCAGCAGCTGCTCCCCCCAGGCAGACCATTCAGCCTCAGGGAGGGCCTCGAGGGGGGTGGTTCTGGCCATGAATGATGCTCGGCGGCTGACGCAGCGAGTGAGGAGGAGGAGACTGAGCTGGGGGTCCATCTGGGCCAGCAGGGGTAGAGGTGCAGCTGCTGATGCCAGTCTTTCTCTCACAGACTCCGCGCAGCCCCGGGGTGTGCCTATGGGGCTGCCGAGGATCTGCAGTCCCTCTTCGGAGATGGAGATGCCTGGGGGCACTGTAGAGGGTCGATTGATGTGGCGGACCACGCCGCGCACTTGGCCGGGTTGTGTACTAGGCCAAGGGCGGCTAGTGCGGCGGTGAGGTGGTCAAAAGCCACCGTGCAGGCCGCGGCGTCGCCGAGCAGCGTGATGTCGTCAGCATACGCCTGCAGGACCACCTGGGGGTGTGCCGTCGCCGTGTCCACGAGGCACGGGTGGATACTTGCCGCAAACAGGAGGGGCCCGAGCGGGTCACCTTGACGCACCCCCCTGGCGCTCTGCAGCGGGGTTGCGCCGAAGTCATGGTCGAGATAGAGCGCGGAGGGAGCCCCATAGGATAGGCGGACGAGGGGGATCAGGTCCTTCAACGCCTCGTTTCTCAGTCCTTCGAACACCGCCCTCCGTTCGACCGCGTTAAACGCGTTCGCGAGGTCAATCTGCAGCGCCACTGCCCCAGGGTGCACTTCCAGGTATGTGCGAGCGGTATGGATAGCCGCTTCGATCCCCCCCGCCACTGCTACTCCGTATTGAAGGGGAGCAAAGTGGTTCCGAGCTGCAGGCGCGGACAGGAAAAGGGCGGATTTTGCGATGATCCTGAGGAGACACTCCCCTACCGCGATCGGCCGCGTCCCTCCCTGTGGTTTCGTAAAGGCTAACAGACGGGAGGCTGTAAGCAGCTCCCCCGCGACTGTGGGGAGTTTCCCTGCTAGTGCCGTGTTAGTGAGGGTGAGGAGGTGGGTGAGCACCTCGGCATTCCCCAAGGCTGCGTCGCGGATGTGCTCGAAGGTTGTTCCTGAGGGGCCGGCACCAACTCCGTTGGGGAGCTTGGCGATGAGGCGTCTGAAGTCATGGGCCTCGATAGCGGGTGGCTCTTCCACCGTGGCGGAGTGTAGCCAATCGGGGAGCTGCTGGCAGGCCGAGGGATGTCTCGCCGTAAGGGCTTCCAACACTTCAGGTGAGGCGGGTGACACAGGGGTGGCCTGGAGGGATTGAAGGGATTTTGACAGGTTACCCCGTTTCGCCAGGCCTTCCGCCCTTGCCAGTATTCCCGTCGTGTCAGGAGCGTGGCGAGGTTGTGGGGGCAGGGAAACTGCATGTACAGCTTCGTCGTAAAGGTTCGCCCAGAATCCTTGGCGAAATCGCAGGAGCCGGTTCATCATTGCGCTCCAGTCAGGTTTGCGGGCTGACGAAGTGCGTAGGAGTAAGCGCGGGAGAAAGGTCAGATTTTTCCACCCCGGTGGGGACTCGGGATTGGTCGCCAGGTGGAGTAACGGAGTCAGCATACAGATCGCGAAGGAGTCGCGAAGGTCCTTGGGGGGGTGGCGAGCGAGCGGAGGTTGGCGACTGTCACGCAGCGGGTCAAGGTTCCAATCTGCGACCATGGCGAAAAGTTCAGTGTTTTTCGCCAGGTCGTCAGGTTTGAGCATTGGCGGGGTTGGGTTAGGGGCTGCAGAATTTTCATTGGCTGCTACAGAGTCAATTCCGTCCTCTGTCGCGGCTCGATTTCCCCCCCTTGCGTGATTCCCCACCGCGGTTCGATTTCGACCTGTGGTTCGGTTTGCAGGTTCGCCTCGGGCCTGCTGGCTCGGGAACTCTGCTCCCCGAAGCAGCTGCTCCAACTCCTCCTCATCCTCCTCGGTTTCAGCTTCCAACATCCCCTCCCTTTCAGGGTTAAAAGCAGGGTCACCCCCTTCGCTTTCTTCATTCTCGGCTTCGACCTCTGACTCCTCGCTGAGCTCCTCCTCGCCGTCTTCCGCGCCTTCGCGCATGAGCCTCTCTGCATTTCTCGCGTAGCCGCTTGCGCTGGTGCGGCGCCGATTTGTGCCACGGGCACCTCCTCTTCTACGGCCTCTCCCATTCCCGCGGCGTCCGCGGCGGCTGCTGCCGCGTCCCACGCGGATTCCCCGTGGACCTCTTCCTCCTGCAGCACCCCCGCGTTCTGTCCGCGGCGCCCCGTCTACCTCGTTATCAGTTTGTCGGCGCGCTGGCGTCGGCTGCTGTGCTGTCGGGCGTGATGGATCCATCCGCGCGACGGGATCCGGAATTAGAGGGATCCACGGAGAGCGCGCCGCCGGCAGAGCCCGCGCCTGCCGGCCTTCGTCCGCGAGTCCCTGCGCACCCCTCCGCGAGCGAGCCCGTCCGCCGCTTCGAGCGGGTGCAGACTCTTCCCCATCGTCCTGCTGCGCGGCCCACCTCACCGGAGTACTCGTGGGCCCCTGCGCGCGTTGCGTCGAACCGCTTGGACGGTCAGCCGCGGCAGGAGCGCGGGCGCTCGCCCCTGCGTCAGCCTCCGCGGCCGCTCTCTCCCCATCGCCCGTCTCCTGAGCATCTCGAACATCCTCAGCATGTGGAGGGCGATCAGCGGAATCCTGCGCAGCCTCATTCTCCTCGTCGCCCATCTCCTCGTGGTCGAACAGGCCAGCGCTCACCCCGAGCGCGATCCCCCGGGCACCTCTCTCCTCGTCAACCTCCGGCGACACGGGGGAGGGGTTTGCCTGGTCGTCGCTGGAATTCGGGGTGTCGCGAGCAGTCTCCCCCGCGTCCGCACTCGGCTGGGTCGGGGGTCGGCGGGGCCGGCGGAACGGAGGTGGGCGCGGCGGGAGTGGGTGCCAGCAGGATCCCGCCCTTGAGCATGCCACGCACGCGATCGCGGAGGTGGTGAGGCATGTCCGAGCGAGTGGGGAGGAGGCCCATGTTCACATAGCCGTGACGAACGGTCCTCCCCTGGCATCGGACCGGGGTCCGGTTGCTCCTCTGCGTGCGCCAACGCTACGCGAGTATCAGCCCGCGCGGGAGGG